TTTGCGATCTGTTGCAGTCAGCGCTGAAGAAGAAACTCTTGGAGCTGCATAATCAGAGTGAAAGAGCTGCTCAGGCAATGAGCACCGTGAAAACAAACCAAAGCCAATCTGCTGTAAGTGGGGAACTCTTCAAAACGCTGTCGGGTTGCTTGGCACGCGCTGGGCACTGCGTGTTGTTGATGACTGTGCTCCTGTGATGACAGCTGTTCTGTTGCAGTCAGCGCTGAAGAAGAAACTCTTGGAGCTGCATAATCAGAGTGAAAGAGCTGCTCAGGCAATGAGCACCGTGAAAACAAACCAAAGCCAATCTGCTGTAAGTGGGGAACTCTTCAAAACGCTGTCGGGTTGCTTGGCACGCGCTGGGCACTGCGTGTTGTTGATGACTGTGCTCCTGTGATGACAGCTGTAGCACTGAGATTGCACGGGCAGGAGAAGTAACAGAATTATTAACAAGTAACAGAAAAGAGGTGTTTTGGCAGGGCCAGGCAGCAATGTGGGAGATGGGAGTAAACCAGGCACAGTACAAGGGTTTTATAACCTCGTGTGCTGACACATCTGACCTGTACTGGGGCTCACACCTTCCCTCTTGCACCAGAAAGCATGTGTGTGTGTGTGCAGCCTGAGGGGAAGGATTAGTGAGCGGTACTGGCTGCACCAGTGCAGAAATGTGGGATGGCTTTTCCTTGTAACTCACCACAACTCATCCTTGTGCTCGGCTGATGATTGGGGTTTGCTAGTGGCTGGGTCAGGTACATCTCACTTGTACCATCCCTTCTGAACGGAGTGGTAGGGACCAAGGAACTTCAGTGCTCCTCTGAGACTCTTGGAATAAATCTGTATTATCAGAGATGCCACATCCCAGAAACAGCCACAGCCCTGCAGATGGGTGAGCTGTGCTGGAGCTGGTGGCACAGCCCATCCAGGGCTGGTGACTGCGGCTGGTGGGGCTGGCCTGGCCTCAGCCCAGCACCCCTGCAGCAAGGACTGGAGACCAAAAATGGGCCCCGTTCCTTGTGAGTGAAGGAGTTTTCTTTTCAAACTACATCGCAATACACAGTTCTTCTATTGCCTGTTTCAAGTAAGAGAAACCTACGTGTTCCTCAAGGGCTTTCGTGTACTAGCAACAAGAGTATTTTGTTCACAAACTGCTCTTTTGAAACCAGCCTGTCTGCTTTTGTCTGCTCCAGGAGACAACTTCCAGGAAGAAGGACTTGATCAGAAGTGAGTTTTCAGAAATTAAAGCTATAATTGAAGAAAGAGAAAATGAGATCATGAAAGCAATTACAGAGGAAGAAAAGAGAGTCTGGAATAAGTTTGATCGGATCTACAGTGTTCTGGGAAGTAAGAAGAATGAAATAGTTTCTCTCAGAGATGAGATTGAGATGGCACTGACTGAAAGTGATGACATTCTGTTTTTGAAGGTAATACGTCCTTTAAATGTGAACCCAATTCCTCATGTTTCTAGAATGCAGAATCACAAAAACCTGCTGTGGTTGTCCCACGCTGCAGACACTTTCAGTCAAATGCTATTGCAGTTGTGTGTAGGAACCTGCTATAGAAAGGTGTCCATTGATATGAGACTGCAGAAATGGTGCCTGGTAACTCCCCCAGTTCAGCCACTAGCTCTGCCACAAGTAGAGGAGCCAGTGGGGGAGAGACTCCTCACCAGGGAGCATTGCAGCTCTGTGCTGTGATGTGTCTAGGAGATCCTTCTCGCTACTCCTCAGATCAGTTGGGAATTATTGCACGTGGGTTTTTGCTGAAATGTTGCCCTGGGTTGTGTCTGCCTTTGCTTCCTGGAATTTGAGCGGAATGCACAAACCCCACCCCACTGGAAGTCACTGGGCTGTGTTTTTCGGTGTGTGCTACACAAACTGGTCTGCACAGAGTCTTTGTTTTGTCATTTCAGAGAGCAGCAGAACTGCAAAAAACATCACTAAAAGACGTTTTTGTGCCTGCAGTTGAAATGGACCAAAATGTTATGCATTCTTCTTACCAGTCTGCCATTAACCTTAAAGAAATGGTGAAACAATCAGTGTTTCAGTGTAGGGAGAACAAAGTAGAAGGTACTGTATCACTGGGAAAATTGGCATTTTCTGCTCTGGCTTTGAGCTCAAATGAGGCATATTCCCTCTCCAATCCAAATAGAATTAAAATAAAGTGCAACCAATACAAATTGTGTTTCCAACCTCTGCCATCCTCCATTTCCACACAAAACCATTAGAGTCTGAGCCAAATTAGGATTAAAAACATGCCAGTGTCTCTTCACTGTTACCTACACTTGGATAAGCTGATGAGTATCATGATACTATGCCCTTCTGGCACAGCTCAGCCTTTCTTCCTTAGAGTAATGTATGGTTTTATTATGTAGCAGGGTTGGATTTGAGGGGATACATGAAATGCTTTAGAGTGGCAGGATTCTGGTTACCCACCCGTAAAGGTGCTGAGTGTGTAAGTGGTGTAGAACAAAGCCCTACTTAGTGGGTGAAGCAGAAGTACCTTTTGGACTGGTGCATAGGTGTGTAGTTTCCATCTCTGCTAAGTATCACTTCAGGCCTACTCACGTAACTGAAAAATAAGATTGAAAAACATCCTCACTAATGCATTACTGTTCTTGGCAATACAAACCATAATGTCAAATATTGCCATTGCAGCCAAAGTAACACCTGGGAAAACTAAGGCCCCTCCAGCAATTTCTACAAACAAAACCAGTGTTGGAAAAAAGCCTCATGGACCACGTAAGTACTAAAGAACATCATCCTCTCCCAACTGTGATTTTGCTGTTAAATAATTGCTCAAACAGCTACCCACGAGCTGATTCCTGTAGTGGTGGTGCCCCTTGGCAGCAGGAAAGGGAGGGTGCTCTGGGATATTTGGTGCTGGATGCCATGTGAGCCGCATGTGCAGCTTTCCAGTGTGGAGGCAATTTGTCCATGGCTTTAGTGTGCTGGGCTGTCAGCTCTAGCTACTGCTGCAGCTTCAGGAGAGCCACGGCAATGGGGCTACAGCTGGCACAGTCTTAACAGTGGCTGTTCATACCCAGCAGAACTCACAGTTTACTTTTACTTTTTTCCAGAGGAGAGAAAGAAACCTGTTAATGTTGGTGAGTCCAAACTTTCAGCATACTTATTCTAATTTTCATTGCTCTTAAAACGATAAGCAGATGGTCATTAGTGTTGGTGTATGTCATGGTTTAACCTCAGCCAGCAGCCAAGAACCAGCAGCTGCTTACACTCCCTCCTCCCCACTCTCCCCCCCCAGCCCGGAGGAATAGGGAGGAGAACAAATAGATTAAAATATGTGGGTTGAGATAAGGACAGTTTAATAATAATACAGAGTAGAATGAGCTACAATGCCAATAGATAATGAAAAAACTCCAAACTCAGTGATGCACAATAGAATTGCTCCCCCCCCGCGGAGCGGCACAACCCCGAACCTCCCCCAGGATTGGCCCCTTCCGGCCTGGAACACCGGGCACGACGGGCCATGGTGTCCCTTTGGCTGGTTCAGCTCACCTGTCCAGGCTATGCTCCCTCCCAATTTCCTGTGTATCTCCTCACTGACAGAGCATGAGACACAGGCAAGAAAATGTCCTTGGTTATGATAAACACAATCCAGCAAAACCAAAACAACAATGGATTATCACTTCTGAATTCAAAACACTGCACTACACTAGCTACTGAGAAAATGAACCCCATCCTGGCTAAAACCAGGACAGTGTATGGAGCAAAAGTTCAACTCGTGCTCTGAGAAAGCTCTTACTAGACTAAAGTGAGGGCAATCAAGCACTGCAAGAGGTTGCCCAGAGACAACAGGTCTTCCAAACCTTGATAAGACAGTGAACAACCTGAGCTAATACTGAACAATACTCCATGCTCCCTGCATGGAGCAGGAGGGTAACCCAGAGAAGCTCCAACCTGAGTGTGTCTGTGATGGTGTGTTAAGCGTGAGGGGTTTCCTCCAACTGGCCAAACTCTCTTTTCTTCTGCCGACACAGCACCAACTGCAGGAGCACCAAACACTGTGACTGCTGCTTCAGTGAAAGATCTCATTGACAGCTTTCTGAAGAAATCCAGAGAGGAGCTTCTGCAGTGTAAGACACCCAATGTTGCACTACTTAAAGATGAACTTGCTGCTCTTATTGCCCTGGTGTGATGTGTCCTCTGTAGTCACCTGACAAAAATACTTCTGAGGGGGTTTCATTAGCCTGATAGGTTATCAGCTGGTTGTTACAAATGAAGGAAATTTTTGGATGAAAAGGAGGCAGGTGGTTTCCAAGTGGTTCTTTTGCCAGATGAATCAAATTTGTCTTCAGTATTCATACTTATCTTTATGAAGACAAATTAAGTTTTCTAAGTAATGGCTTTGGGGGTCGTCTAGAAATGTGGTGTGGTACACTCCATTTTTTTTAAATGAAATGCAGGTTTTTATGTGAGCCCATGACAGCTCGGTAAGATGCTACACAACATGGGATAACCTGCTGCCAGGTCAGCAATCCCTTCCTTTTGCCAGCATATCTTTGGGTGGAGAAGGAATCCCCTGGGGGTGCAGGAAGGCTCCGTTTGCCTCCTGTGTGACACAGAGCTGCAGCTGAACTCAGCAGCTATTAATGTCACCCCCAGAACTGCCTGCACTGAGGGGCAGAGCAGAGCTGGGAGATCAGCATGGGAACAAGTGCTTAGGCAGGACAGGGTGAATGGAAGTGCTTTGCTCTTCAGTGCCTTCAAACGTTCCCTGTCACTGCAGATGCAGCTAACATCACTGTGGACTACAACACAGCTCACAACGATGTGGTTCTGTCTGAGAACTACACCAAGATGTCTGTGTCGGACAGCGCCACAGGCCACACACTCCACCCTCAGCGCTTCGTCCACTGCCGCCAGGCCCTGGGCCGCCAGAGCTTCCAGAAGGGCATCCACTACTGGGAGGTGGAGCTGCAGCACAACAGCTTCTGCGGCATCGGCGTCTGCTACGGCAGCATGGCGCGGCGCGGGCCCGAGAGCCGCCTGGGCAGGAACAGCAGCTCCTGGTGCGTCGAGTGGTTCAACTCCAAAATATCCTCCTGGCACGACGACGTCGAAAAGCGCTTACCCAACACTAAGGCTGCCAAGATTGGTGTGCTTCTCCACTGTGAGGGAGGGTTTGTGATTTTCATGGCAGTGGGGGAGAAGCCCCACTTGATCTATAAATTCCAAGCGCAGTTCACCGAGGCCTTGTACCCTGCCTTCTGGTTGTTTTCCAACGGCAGTGTTCTCTCTCTCTGTAAAATGAAGCCGTAAGGTCTTGTATCTAGTTTAGTTCACCTAAGGTAATCTCTCACAAAATCTCAAAGATTGATTGTCTGAGATGAAAATTATTAGCTCTTTTAAACATATTGGGAAATCTGCCCATTCTTTGGTCCAAATTGCTGAAGCCTTTAGACAGTGATAGCAAAATGCTGATGATAGTAAAAACTACAATGAAAGATTTTGCGAAGACCTTGATTGCCCTAAAATCAAAGTTATGAGACAAACCATTGTTTAAGCATCTTCAGTAGCTGCTATGGCTTCTGTGGTTTGCTGCAAAGGATCCCCAGAATTATTGTGTTCCATAGGAAACAATAAGCCCTTTGAGAAACAGGAAGAATTCCTTGACAGTTTCAGGTTCCAGGCTTTGAGGGAGGTCTCAGTGTGGCTGTTTTGCCTACATATGGACTGTTGTCCTCAGATGTTCTCAGTGTTTGACTCCATGGGATGGTACAGAAAGAGCCATGAAAATCTGTAAGTTCAGGTCTTATGGCACTAAGCTATAAAAGCCAATAGGACAAATCTCATCAAAATGCAAATGCAGACTTAGAGTTGATGGGTAAGAAATGGTGTTGGAATCAGCAGG